TTCTGTAGGGTTTTTATCATGAATGGGTGTTGGACTTTGGCACTTTTTTTTCTGTGTCTGTTGAGATAATCGTGTGTTTTTTTAGACTTGGACTTTAGAATAAACCCTCTAATTAGTATTCTGACAGCCAAAGGCCATTTTGGGGGGTTTATTGGGATCTGCGTGCTTCAAAGGCTTGCAGACAACAAATCCTCAGGCCAGGGCTGGAAGGGCAGCTCTGCCCCAGACAGGAATCCAGGCTGGCTCCTCGGGTCCAGACGGCAGGAACGGAGATGCTCTTGGACTCAGCACACAAGGACTCACCGACACTTAATTTCTCCACCTGGAAAGATTGGTCAGCAGATTGGCTTTTTCGCCACATCATTGTTTTTTATGGTGATTTTCACTTACAAAGAGACTTGAACAAGATGTTGAAGCTCTCTGTATTATCAAAAACCATGCTCAAGTGGCAGACAGGGGTGAGCATGAGGAAGAACCATCTTCTCTTTCCTGTTAGTTCCCTCCACTGCTTTAGAAGTTTCTTAAACCCTAACTGATAATTATCTTAAAAATACTTCCAACGGAGTCAGATTAAAAAATATATTGTGATCCAATATAGGCTAAGTCATAGGGATAGAGCACGAAGGTATAAAGTCTGTGCAGTTGAGTGAACCAGCATCTTTGTTGCGTACAATGGACTTGCAAGGTCTGCACTGCTGCAGGGGTCATGTTCTGTGTCTGTCATTTTTGTCTCCCCAGCCCTGCATCTGGCCTGTGCAGGCCAGCACTCGGCTTGCGCTGAGTTTCTCCTGCAGTCCGGCCTGAAGGATTCCGAAGACGTAACGGGCACCCTGGCTCAGCAGCTTGCAAAGAGAGCAGACGTCCTTCAGGGTTTCAACCACAGCCCCGTGACGTAAGAACGTTCCTAAAGGGAGATAATAAAGTGTGTGCGAGTTCATACGCTGCGTCTTACGTCACTAACAGAGTCAGTAAAATTCCTCAGTGTGCAGCATTTTCGTCTCCTCCTGCTTCCCCCCTGCACTCTCCTCTTCCACGGGGGTGTCCCAGGTGACCAGCACTGGGTTCCCAGCCTGTGCCTGGCAGGTTGTAAGATCCACAGTGCAGGCAGAGTCTTTCCCTAGTCCATATTTCACTTCTTTCACCCTAAAAGGAGAATTAGATAATATTGATGAAGTTAGTTTCTGGAATCTTTAGAAAGACATCTAACATACATAAATACAAGATACACACTTTTATAAATATATGTACGTGTGTTGCAATATTGTATGGTAAGCGGATGAAGATATTTAAAATATAAATTGCTGTTAACTAGAGCCGTAAGATATAATTGATCTGTTTTAATTTCTCCCTTCATAGGCTTTTACTTTTCCATTACCATGGTCCACTTCTGGTTTCATAGCCGGGAGGGAAATGTTTATTATCTGTTTCCACAGAAATGTACTAGGGATTAATGAAAACTTTTCTAATTAAACTATAAAGTTTTGTTTGTTTGTTTCTTTGGGGTTTTTTTGTCTTTAAAACAGGGTCTCACCCAGGTGTAGTGGCTCATACCTGTAATCCCAGCACTCAGGAGGCTGAGGCCCGCGGAATCCTCAAGAGTTCGAGACCAGCCTGGGCTGCAAAGGGAGCTCAAGGCCAGCCTGAACTGCATAGTGAGACTCTTTCTCAAAAAGACAAAAAAATAAAATAAAATAAAATAAAAGACAGGGTCTCACTATGCAGTTCAGGCTGGGCTTCAACTCACTTTGTAGCCCAGGCTGGTCTCGAACTCGCAGTGATCCTCCTACCTCAGCTTCCCGAGTGCTGGGATTACAGGTGTGCACTACCACTCCTGGCCTAAGCTATAAAGTTTTAATCTTTAGAGTTTTTTGTTGTTTATTTTATTTTATTTTATTGTTGTTTATTTTAATAGACATTCTGTATTGGCCCTGTTTTGGTAATAAATATGCAACTGAGTTCTTTCCAAAGCTTTTCCATTATCCCAAATTGAAGAACAGCGTTTTGTTCTTTTATCCCACAGGTTAATGTCTCTTGTCCCCTCCCATTTACCCAGCAAAGCCTCTTGACCGTTGAGGAATGAAATACTCACATTACCACTTTTGCTGTTTATTTTTTTTCTGAGACAGGGTCTCACCTGTTCAGGCTGGCATTGAACTCACAGTGATCCTCTTGCCTCAGCCTCCTGAATGGGGGGATTATAGGCCACTGTGCATGGCAATTCACAAATAATGTAGTCTTTTAGAGAGGTTATAGGTACGATGAGTGCTCAGACATTGAGATGCTTTTACTGTTTTTTTTTAATCCCTTTCTTTTTCTTTTTTCAATCATTTTCTCTGAATTGCAAAGCATAATTATTTCCCCAAATCAGTCTTCTGTAGAGTGGTATGTATCAGTGGTAAGCAAGAGTTAATCCTCTTGTTCAGTATAATCCGGCTAATTCTTGTTACACACCCACCTTCTTCTCAGCTTTCGGCTTGCCTGGGTACGTAGCAAGAATTTCCAGTTCCTCTTAATTATTCCCAGATGGCGTTGGCAGATTCCTATCCTAACCACCAAATAACTATGCTAGTAGAAACACAGTCCTGTCTTGTGACCTTTAAGTCACACACTCTCTGCGTCTGTAGTGCTGATTCGAGATGCATTTACAGTGTTCCTGCGGCAGAAGAGACACCTCTTCAATCCTGTCGTGCGGACATCCCACTGGCTTTCCTTTCCCTCCGCACATGCACGGAGCAGCTTCTTATGTGCAGCTTCTGCATGCACCATCAATTGCCGGGTGTCACTTAGCTTTTGCCCTTGAAACTAACCAGTGACTGCTAATTCGTGTTACAGTTTTGTTTCCCTATAGTAAATTCCATATGCTTTCCTGACATAAATCTTAACTAGTGGAGGCTACCGCTCAAACTACTCAGCAGCCAGAGATAGCAGTGATTATAATAACATTAATTGTACCAAAGAGAACAGTAATAACAGATAATAAGAATATATTTTTATAATTAAGGATGAAAACAGTGATGATAATATTCCATCACTTCCTAATTACAGTTACTCATTGCCTTTAGGTCTTTACCTAAAAATTACCTTCTTAGCCAGGTAATTCCCCAGCCATGCCACGTAATTTGAATTATTTATTGTTTACTGTCTCCCCCAATAATATATATATACTTGGATAAGGACTTTTTTTGACTTTATTAACATGTCTGCAGGACCTAGAACAGACCTGGTACACAGTATGTTTTGATAGTATATGGTTGATGAATGGATGATAGCAACAATCCGTATTTAGTGAACACTTACTGTGCACTAGATTACTATATCAAGCATCTTACCCAGATTGGCTCATTTTGTCCTCTGACTTATGCGTCCTGCAGCTCTTTCTAGTTTTTGTTCCGGCTCAAGCATCCTTTTTCATACACGCTTCCTCGACCTCCTTCACTCACGGGCACCGCTCCCCCCAGCCTCCCACCACAGCCTGACTTTATTGCAGCTGCTCTTTGCAAGCTAGTCCCTGAGATCACCAGTGATGTCCTACTTGACAGACCAAGTAATATATTTTTAGCCCTTATGTTTCTGATCCTTTTGGTTATCAGTCCTTGCTGCCTTCTGGACTTTTGCCACCTGATAACTGCTGGGTCTTTTCTGACTTTCCTCTCTGCCTCTGTCATGAGTGCCTCTCTTCAGCCATGTCCTTAAAATGCTGACGTGCCCAGATTCTGTCTCCAGTTTACTTTCCTTGTTCTGTGTTTGCTCCAGAAGCAATTCATCATTCTGGTCTCAGCTGTACCCTAGTACTGTGTCAGTAGCTCTCCGATCTCTTTCCAACCTTTATTTTCTATTGCCTGCTACAGAATTTTGCGTGAGTGTGCTCAATTCATTCAGCACCTACCTTCCCCCAAACCCTCTTACATACTAAATTAGCTGCCTTAGGTGGGGCATCGCAGTTCTCCAGGCCACCCAAGCTGGAACATGGGGTCACCTGTGACTCCTCCCTCTATGGGAATTCCCAGCCAGTTCCCACCTGTTGGCTATCTCTCCAGTCCATGTCCGCTATAAGCCCTGCCCAAGCTCTTGTATTCTCATCCCAGACCACAGCTATGGCAGCCTCTTAACTGCTCCTGCTGCTAGTCATGTCTCCCACATAACCCCTGCTGATTGCCCGTGGTAGCCCCACGTGCCTCCCCTCCCAGAGAATGCACTACCCTTTCAGCACAGCTTCTGACCTCAGCTAAGACCCATTTCCACAGAGGCTGTCGGCTGGTACTGACAACACACCTTCCACTGTATGTGTTACTAAGCTATCGTGGCAGAAGTTGCCAGAAAGACATCCAAGTATGTAAGGATTGTAAGCACTTGAAAATAGTTCAGACCTAGTGTATTAATACCAATGATACGAGAAAGTACTTACAAAATGAAATGGACAGATAATTAAAAAGTAAAAAGGGCTAAACACAGAAGTAGAGGGAGCCCAGGTAATGAGGCACAGAACTTAGTTTAATTTTGGCATATTGCTCAACTTCACCAGCAGATGGCAGACCAGAAAAGTGTCCCTTTTATCCTTCAGACTTGTTTAAAAGGCTTATTGTAAAATACAGAAAATATGGAGAGTAGGAAAAGATGAAACTACCCTATAGTTCAGCCACCCAGTTGTAACCATTGTAATTTCCTCTCCGTGTGTCTAAATGCACACAGTTGACATGCTGCTGTGTATGCATTTTTCCCTCTGCCTTTATACTCCAAACAAATATGAGTGCTCTTAAAAAGCTTCTGAACTTTGCTTCTAATCAGTATGTAATCCTCTGTCAGATTGTCTATATTAATTCTTTTGGTTGTTTTTGCTTTTAAAGATAGGATATAGACAATGTCAGTCCACTCAAGGGGGCCCAAGGGAGATTTTCGCAGGTGAGGTCTCAAGGTTAAAGAACGTGTACAAGATGTCAGCAGCAACAGCAGGCAGCGTGGAGCAGAGCAGACAGCAGGAGTGCAAGAGAGCTGCCTGTGTCTTTACTGTGTAATTCTTATACAGCTTGTATCCCATGTTTATATTCTTACACAGTGCTGCGACCACTGTGTGCATGTTTACTTGTGCTAAGTTATGGTTTCATAACTGTATCCCACTGTGTGCCTGCGCTAGACCAAGTGGGGTCATGTCCTCAGGTGTCCTTAGACCTCTTGAGCTTTGAAGCAGTCTGAGTGGTTCCCCACAGTCAGGATAATCAGTCAAGCTTTGTCAAATTTGACTAAAGGCCAGGAGGGAAAAGACCATTGGATCTGCTCACTGGAAGGTTGGGGCTCAGTAGGTAGTGGGAAGATAATTGATGCCACAGGAGGACTTGAGCAAACTTGTGCTGCTTTGAATATGTTGAGTAGTAAAAAAAGAAAAGTAAGATCACAGTTGGACAGGACAGTTGTTGTTTTTTGTTTTTTTTGTTTTTTTTTTTTGTTTGTTTTTTTTTTTCAGAGAAAGTGAGAGCTCAGCATACTTATGGACAGAGGGAAGAAACAAGCAGTGAGAGCGAGGCTTGCTGCCTGAGTGAGGTCCTGCAGCAGGTGGGGGAAGTGGGGTCAGAAGGTCTTGTGAAGGCTCTGTTCCAGATGAAAAAAGAATATTCCCTGCTTTTTTTTTTTTTTTGGAGACAGGGTCTCACTGTGCAGTTCAGGCTGGCCTTAAACTCACTTTGTTGCCCAGGCTGGCCTCAAACTCCCAGCGATCCTCCAGCCTCAGCCTCCATGTGCTGGGATAGAGACCTTTACAAAGGAATGAAGGCTCAGGAAGAGAAGGTGGTTAAGGGTAGAGCACAAATGGAGGGGTGCGAATACACATCGTTGATGGTTACGAATGCTGTATTTTACATTTTCTACAATCATGAATAATAAAGTTACTTACATTTGTATAGTCTCTTTTAAATTGTTTGTATAAACAAGCAATAGAGGGGGTATAGATTCAATTTAGAGGAAGTAGTACAGTTTTATTGAAAAAACGAGGTAGAGGTGAGGTCTGGCCTCTGACATTAGCGGGGACCATAAAAATGTGCTCTGCACATGTGACTGGGTCCATCATTCAGCATTTATAAAATCCTCACCTGTTTCACCAACCCTCAGAAAGGTAAGTGACTTCATAATAAAGGCAGACCTGGTATTCCTGAGGAAACACTAGGGAATATTCTGTTTGTCAGCTGCTTCACTTCTGCCTCTGCATTTTCTGACCTGAACACATCAAGTGAGGTATTTCCACCAGCTCAGTGCCTTCTGTGAGCTTCATCTCTTTCTCCTTGCTCCCCCTCTCCTAAAAGCCTCGAAGCATCCCCAAGGGGGAGTCGTCCATGAAAGCATTTGAAACATTGGAAAGAAAAAAAAAAAAACAGCAATGATAATTTTCTACAGGATTTTACTTTCTCTGAGATTTTCGGAGTGGGAAAGAGGCCGCATAGCTTAGTTAGTGGTATGAGCTCTAAACTCAAACTGTAGCTTTTTCATGCAC